GCCGAGCAGGGAGCCCGATGCGAGACTCGATCCCGGGACTCCAGGATCATGACCTGGGCCGAAGGCAGTCGCTTAACCAACTGAGCCACCCAGGCGCCCCTCTGGGATGACCACATTTTGATGGGAATAAGAGGGACAGCAGCCCCAGGTTCTCTTGGCTCATCTATCCTAGCCTTTTAAGCTGGGGCAGGGACTGTATTCTGAGTATTCTTAGGGCCCAGTGTTCTGAGCCACATCTAAGGTAGAGCTTCTGAGCCACGTCTAAGGTAGAGCTTCCATTCTACCAGTGGGCGTTGTGTAGAAGGGATGCCCAACAGGTAGCTGGAGGCAGGATGGAAAACATTGAAAGCCCTCTGGCTGGAAGCTAGAAGAGAGGGAGGCCAGTGTTGTTGTCTGCAGCAGTCTGGAGTAGAGGTTCTGCCTCCCTGGTTCAAATACCACAGACTCTCGGGGTTCTTTTACTGAATATTTATAGATATTCCTTCTTTTGTTGTTTGCCTGCCCTTAGGACTATTTCCACAGGTTTTAATTGGTGGGGCTTTGGGGTTTTGTTTCGTTTTTGTTTTTTCCATTTTCAGCGATTTCACTGGAGAGTGGGTCAGTGGCGCTCCTTATGCTGTCATGCCTGAAGTAGATCTCAGGACCTTCCATATTCATTTTCCAAAGACTCTACATAGAGGAAAGACTCTTAAGCCATAGCACGACTTTAATGTTGTTTAAAATGTATAAGATTGTTAGAAAAGATTACGTAGCTTTATTAAAGTTTTCATTTTGAGACTTTATCATTGTCTTGGCTCAATGATATACAGTATTTCCTGCTAATTTGGGAATATGTTTATATTAAAATGAAGGACTCCTTAAATCTGTCATTTCAGGTATATGTAAATCCTATAACTGAGACAAACTCAGAGTTTTAACAGTATCCAGAGTAGACTAAACTCATGCATATAATTTTAAAAGTTACCTTTTATGTTTTTATGGAAGTAACATTGACTGTAGAGGAGAAAACCTGATAAGTTCTTCCATAGGCTTCTTTTTGCTATCTTATATATAATTCTAGCCTTTTTTTTTTTTTTTAAACCAATTGAATCATTTTGTATCTGCTTCCCCCAGAGGGTAAATACTAGTAATATGCATGCTTCACATGTATTTGCCTCTGCAAAATTTACACATGTCATGTAATCTTCATTTTAAACTATGGAAAAGGTGTTGTTATGCCTCAAGGGCAGGGTCTTAGAGAAATTGGTTTGTGGTTTCTCCCAACTATGATGGGGAGAACTATGCCTCTTTCAGATTGTGTCCGCCCTTCTGCTTCCTTTCATAAAACCTCTCTCCCCCAATTTTTTTTTGTAATCAAGATTACAAAAATAATACAAGAATACAATATGAAATAAAATTCTATAACCTTTTTTTCAGCTCTCCTACTTGAGACATTCATGCATAACAGTAGTATGTGCATCCAGATTTTTGTGAAATATATTTTAATTCAATATTCTGTTTCTGATAAGTGCATCCATAGTTCTGGCACATCTGTCTTGTTTCCTTGTAGTAAGCAAACTACAGTCTTTCCTACCAGGAAACATGAAATGGATTTATCACATTTTGTCAACTTTATTGCTCTGTATTTTCTGTTTGGCAGTCTTGGTTTTCTTCATTCTGTTTTCCTTGAGAACACTGCAGGATTTCCTTTAGTTCCATGCAGATGCTCTATGGGATCTCATTTTCATATTCTCATGGTTTAAATATTCAAGACCGATTTTAAAAAATCAAAAGTAAAAAAAAAAAGAATTTTAAATCCTAGCAGAAGAATGATTTATAGTTCTGAATCTGGGAAGGTTTTTTAGAAAACACTATCTTATTTACTATCTTAACCATACTTTGGTAAGTGAAAAGTAGACTGTTAATAATCCCTTATTTTTATGTTTTATTACTGTTCTCCTTTTCTTTCTAGGTTCGCCAAGCGGCTTTTCAGTCTCTGGGACCTTTCATATCTACTTTTGCTAATCCATCTAGCTCAGGCCAGTATTTTAAAGAAGAAAGCAAAAGCTCAGAAGATACGTCAGTAGAAGACAAAAATAGGTATGATTTCTTTAAACTTTACTTTTCAGCTTTTATTGCTTGTGAACATATTTTTCATTTCCTCTATTTTATAATAAATTTTCTTTTTGGCGACTTTGCTATTTCTCTTGATTGTAAAAATTGGTAAATATTTTTAAAGAGCTGTATTTTAAATACATTTGTTAAATGTCTCTTTGGTCAGTTACATCTTAAGTGAGAAGATGAAGATGAGTGTAGCACACTGAGCTTGATCCTGGCCATAGAGAAAAGTATAAATGATAGATGTGATGATAATTTTTGAATAAGTTTATTTAATAAATTAGTTACCTAGTAAACCATCTATTGACATTTAGGTGAAGTAATGGTCATACAATTTAAAGGGTTTAGTGTTTTAAGGGGTAAAACCTAATTTAGGAATATGTTTGTTTAGTATGTAGTCCATTTCTTACTATTACTTTTCCTTTCAGTCAATTATTTTAATTGTGGATCTTGAACTCTGCAGAATGATGATTATAATCTCTCAATCGAGAGGGAAAGTATTATAATGATTAGCACCAAATTAATGTACTTATTAACTAGAATATCAACTTTAAGTGTAATAGGGCAACTAATTTTAAAATAAAAAGGACAACTCTGATTTTTATTTTTAAATTTTTTTACATTAAGAAATTTCAGGTTTTTGTTTTTAAAATTTATTATACTATATACTTAGGGGAAAAAAAATCAAGCCTAACTTAGTGCATGGAAAATACGCACTTTTACAGATGTGCACTTGAAATACTTTAGAACCTGCTTTTTAACAGTCCCTACTATAATGCTTGAGTTACCATAGTGTCTTGTCCCTCCCTTGTCATGATGCTAATGGACATTTTCTTCTGTAGGTCTTGATACTGTGATATTTGCTTTCTTGGTGTTTTGATTTGGCAGTTCTTCCTTTCTTCTCTGCTGCCTTGTTTTACCTTTTTGCCCGTTCTCCTACTGTCCTGCTGAATAGCCAAACAAACCTGAGGTACTGTTTTTTGTAAAGGAAGAAAATCACTCTAAACCTGTCTTCCTAGCAAGCAAATTCTGTCAGTTCTTTTGAAAAACAGCTGCTGCAAGGAGTTTGACAAAAATGATGATGGGGGGAAGTGTTACCTGTTTTTCATTTTTAAAGTCAACATACCTTGTTCACTACGTAATTATGTGAAGACTATTACATAACTTTTATTTATTTTTAAATCTGGAGAAAGTCTAGTAAGTGAAAATACAAATTTACAGAGAATTGTATAGGTCAGGGGTCAGCAGACTTTCTGTAAAAAGCCAAATAATAAATATTTTCAGTCTCTGCCACAACTGCTGTACTCTGCCTTTGCAGCGTGAAAGCAGCCATGGACCGCACGCACATAAGTGGATGGGCTTGGCTGTGTTCCAATAAAACTTTATTGACAAAAATGGTTGGTGTGGCTACCATGGCCAGTAGTTGTACTGACTGCCCGTGTAGGACATTACTGGAAGAGATATTTAAAGGTAGTTATCTTTTACCTACAAACCTTAATTCCTCTTCCATTGTAATGAGGTATGTTTTAATGTCAAGTCAGTACTCTTTGTAGCATTGGATTTTCACTATGTTGTTAGACTTTATTGAATCGTGTTAATGGTAGAGGGGAGGGAAGAGAGAATTTCTGGCTAAGGAAGGAGTTGTGTTAAATACCATTAAAACTGTTGTGTAGTTTTACTTCCTAACTTCAAAAAAAAAGTCTTATGTATTATTAATCTCAGAACCATTAGTTTGTTTACCCTCTCTTAAATACTGCACTGACTTTTGTTCTAAGCTGTCTTAAAACTTGTTTGTTATTTAAGATTGGTTGATTATGCAGAAATTAATTGAGCACCTACTATGAACCAGCTCCTATAGATAGAAATCGAGAACTCGGTTCCTGTTGTCAAGGTCCTCTCAGTTTTCCTAGAATTCAGATCTCTCAAACAAATATCTTACAAAGTAAGCAAGTTTTTGACAGTCTGTTTCCACTACTATTTATTATATAGTTTCATCTGACCCTGGAAACATTTAATGTCACTTAATACTCTCTGAAGCCTTAATTGATTTTAAACCTCTGACGTTGTATACCAGATTTATCTTTCACCCTAGATCAGGCTATTCATGCTTCTTGGAAGGTGTTCATAAAGGCTACTTCCAGAAGCAGAGTTAAACATTCATATTTGCATTTTTAAATTATGTAAAATAAGCATTCCCTTTTCTTCTTAGTTGATCAGCTGTTGTATTATATTGTTCTCCGAATACACTATGTTCTTTTGGTTCTCTCTGCTTTCTGTTCAAGAAGCTGTTCTGTTCCATCCATACCCATTTAACAAAGTGAATTGTCAGTGTGTTTGCTGTCTCTAGACTCACTACCTCCATGAATCTTTTCCTGAGTTTTTTGGGAAATACAGAACTTTTGCATCTTGGCTGTCAGCACTGAAATATGAGCACAGATTTCTGATCCGTATCTTTTCAGTTGTGTATTTGCGTATATGGTTAGGCCAGCCGACTGCAAGTCCAGCTGCTGTAGCAGTCAAGTTCTGAATTTCTGCGTATAGAGCACCTTCACTGGGCCTGGCAAATAGTAAACCTTGAATGAATTGTAAGGAAAGCTTTAATCTCAGAAGCCTTAAGTAGTTACACCACTTATGCCACTTTTTGTCAGCTTAGTGTAATGCCAGCTGCGTGAAAGTAAAACTGATGGCTGTTGGTACAAATTTGGAAGTATTTCAGTGATATGAAAACTTCATTTAGTTAATTCACAGTACAGGAAAGATGTATGTTCTTTGCTTTCGTGTCAGGACATAGTGCTGCTTTAACCAGATGTCATTTTCTCCTGAAATACATGTACTTATTTTTCTAGGCCCAGAGTCTCTAGTCCAGAACTCGGAGAGTATTAATAGGAAACTTATGTAGACACTAAAGGAAAATTAAGGTTCTTTTAGAGAAATTTCTGGCTCACCCTGGTGCTCTTGTTACCTGCATCTCTTAGGAGATGGGGTAATTCTCTCATTTTGCAGAATCAGAGGTCTTTTTAGCTTTCAAAATGATTTTTGCTTTTATAATAGCATTTGGAAATCTGACAACTAAGAATATCAGAATTTTAGTTTTTAGCAGCTTGATCTCGCATTGACTAGCTCCCAGCTCTTGGAAAAATCAGTATTCAGATAATTTATATTTTTGACAATTCGAAGCAACTGTTATTCATACATGTAGTAATTCTTCCCAGAATTTAACAGTAGGGAAAATTTTTTTGTCTCCTTGAAACCATACTAGGAGTTTTAAGTTTGGACAGACTAGTAATGTAACGTTAGAGAAATAGAATGACTTAGCCATTCTTTTTTTTTTTTTTCCTAAGAATATTAAAGTTTAATCTTAATGGCATGGTGAGAATAGTAATCAAGGAATTTCAGGCCCATGGGATAGTTTTGCATACTGAATGGCCTTTGTTGTTGTTGCTGCTGTTGTTTGGGGGGGTGGGGCAAAGGGAGAGAGAAAATCTTAAGCAGTCTACACTCCCAGTGTGACTCGAGTCCAAGGTGGGGCTCCATCTCGTGACCCTGAGAGCATGACCTGAGCTGTACTTGAGAGTCGGACGCTTAACCCACTGAGCCACCCAGGTGCCCTCTGAATGGCCTTTTAATTAGGTTCTTTTTGTGTATTTTAAATGCAGGTTTTTTTTTTTTAATTTATCAGATAGTGAAGTCTTACAAGTTTTAACCCATTTGGTCTCCACTCCCACCAAACAGTATCTTGTTACTATAATTTTTTAAATTTAGTTTTCATATCAGAAAAACTGCAAAAATAGCACAAAGAATCCCATATGCCCTTCAGATTCTCCAAATGTTAACATTTTACCATATTTGCTTTACTGATCTTTTTTTCTGAATAGTTTGAGGTTTCAGACATATTCTTTTTACCTTTCTTAAAGGTACCTTTCTGTGTACTTCCTCAGAATGCAGGCATTAATACATAACCATGGTCCAATTACCAAATTAAGAAATTAACATAGATATAAAATACTGTCATCTAAACTAGAGACTTTATTCAAATTTTACCAATTATCCCACTAAATTCTTTAAAACAAAAGAAAAAAATGTCTTTTAATAAGGACCACGTGATTGGAAAATATGTAATTTGTATAGAAGACATTTATTTGGCATAACAGCACTAGCTCCAAGAGCTGTTTTGGAGAGGGAAGGAATCTTAAAGGTTGTCTAAGCCAGTCTGTCATCCTTATGAATAAGGAGTAAATGTGGAATCATGGGGGCCTTGAAAGACTCACAGGTTTATGGTAATGCAGTGCTGGCACTGGGACAAGGACCTGAGAACTCGGGGCCCAGCTCTCCCAGAGGTGTAACAACTCTATTATGTGTGCACACCGTCTATTTTATAGTCCTAAGAATCGAGGGGAAACACCAGAAGTAAAATGCTATCACTGTGTGATATGTTTTCACATGACTTCTTACATATTTTTTCTGTATTTTTCAAGATCTGTTAAAATAATCATGTGTTTTTAAAAATACATTATTTTTGAAAATAGTGTGAACATTACCATGAGATAAAGCATAATCAGAGGGAAGTTGATAATTTCATGGGAACATGTACAGTGGCTACTTAACTAGGATATTACACAGGTGTTAATGTCACCTTCCGTTTGCTCAATCCTGGTAAGCCTCCTGTTTAGTACCTTTTACTAGGTGTATTTAAAGGCACATACTGTTTCAGGGAGCAGCTTTAATTTTTTCCCACACTCACTTTCAAATTTACCTATACACCCATCCTTACTTCTCATGTTTCTTATGAAAGGTGTCTCTTGACCCATTGAATCTGTGCACCTCTGTTCTTGAGCTCACGTCCTTCTTTCTTCTTAGAAGGACAGTGCTCTATCAGTGATTTCGTCATCTCCCGTGCCTGCAGTTCCTACATCTCTTCTGACCTCTCTCTCTAAGGCATCCTGAGAAAAATGCCTTCACTTTGTTACTTGGTGTGTCTTTCGTGTTTCCATTCGTCTTTCTTGCCTTGCACCCATCTAAGCCCTGCACACGTCCTTCTGAGTTGATGACCTTCACCTCGGTCCCTGGTGTCTGACCGGTTTCCCGTGGACATCCCCACCCAGAATGCAACCCAGGTACCGCACTCAGCCTGTCCAAACCGGAACTCATTAGCCTCCTCATTACACTCTTCTTGTGTTTTCCACTTTTAGTTGGTGCTACCATGATTTGTTCCGTCGCGCTAGCCAGAAATTTGGCAGTCTTTCCGGATTCCTCCCTTTGGTTCCCATCTCCAGCATGCAGTAAATAAGTAAACAGATCCTACTGGTCCTGTCATCATTTGAATGTGTTTACTTCTTCATAGTCCCAGACGCACTGCCTTCATCCACCAAGTCCTCGCTGGCTCCCCCTGCCCTTCTGGAGTTCCTGCCTCCTATCTCACCTCCGCCCCATTTTCTACCCCACTTCCAGGATGCTCTCTCAAAAATAACGCATCTAAAAATGCGATTCTCCCAATTCCTGCCTTATTCCATGTAGCCCATAGGATCAATTCCAGAGGTGTTGGTTATAGAGTACGGTGGTTCTGGCAAAGTTTTTCACCCTAGTCACCCACTGTTTCCTTCTCTTGGCCATAAGGAACTCACGGCTGTTTGCAGAGTGTGTTACACATTTTCTGTCACTCCTGCCTTTGCATATGCCTTTTCTCCCTTGAATACATGTTCTTCCCCTTAGCCTCGTAAACATTTCCTGGTTCTTCTAAACACCGCTCCTGTCATTTTCCTCTAGGCCTTTTCATTTCAACTCCATCCCGCCTCCCGTGCTCGGTGTGCATACTTCTGTACTTACCACTCTGTCTGGCGGTTACTTGCTTACGTGTTCGGTTCTCCTGTTTGCCTCTAATTTAATCTCCCTGACCAGACCTGCATCTCATTCACATGTGAATCCTCAATACTGGCTTCGTTCCCTGGCTCCTAGTAGGTGCTCAATATATGTTTGTTAAATTTAATGGAGTCAAATAAAATATAGGGGATAAACATTAAAACTTACTGTAGTGTTTTAGTTTAGATAATGGATGGTGGTAATCAGTGGATTTTAATTTAGGAGCTTGTGCCATCTGTCCTTATCAATTAAGTCATGACTTTATTTTGGGAAAACCTTTGGGAGTAGAGCTGGCAAGTGTGGAAGAAATAAAAAAACTTTATTTACACTGAAATGGATTTTAATATTTTGTGAGATAGCAAATAAGGATCTTTTCTAATACTGTACAGAGGTTTTTTTTTCTTTTCTTTTTTATAAAAGCAAATAGGTTTTAATTCTCAGCTTTTCAGTACATCATTGGAGCAGTGGCAATACCATAATCCTAAGAATCAGATCATTTTTGAAGTGCATTGTAGGAATTTATCTTCCTACAGTTTTTCTTTAGTTTAAGAATCCTGGGATTCTACAATGTTACCTTTTCCAACTCATGTAATGCATTAATATCTAGACTTATGCTTAACAGATGTTTACATCTCTGAACACAGAACAACTGATGGAAAAAGAAGCATTATCAGTATATACACTACTCAATTTGTATGGATAATCTGTAAATTTTAATACTGAACTTGTGTAAATACGTTATGTAGTGTCTTTCATTGAGTTTTTTTCAGTAATTATTTTTATACTTTCATTTTTTTTTTCCCAAATGAAACCATAAAAGGATCAGAGATCAAGAAGTCCCAGAGGATGTACAGATCAGGCCAGAGGATGTTTCTTCAGATCCCAGTATTAGTAATTCCAGTGTCAGACTGGAAAACATGGTGGAAGATCATGCTGAAACATCTAGGAAATCTCCAGGTGAAATAAGTGTCCCAGTGGACAGCTCTTTACTTTGTACTTTGTCCTCAGAATCTCATCAGGAAGCAGCTAGTAATGAGAATGATAAAAAGCCTGCTAACTGCAAATCTGCCTTACGGCCAGAAGGTGGCGCCAGTTCACCAGATTCAGCTCTCTTAGATCAGGAATTGTACAACTCCTTCCATTTCTGGAGGACTCCTCTTCCTGAAATAGATCTAGATATAGAGCTTGAGCAGGGCTCTGGGAATACTCTCAGCCCAGAGAGACCAGAAGAAACCTCTGAAGTCACCGTACCAGGTTCTTCAAATATCACTATGGCCACCAGAAAGGAACTTGAAGAAATGATAGAAAATCTAGAGCCGCACATTGATGATCCAGATGTTAAAGGTACGGAAGAGTCTATCAAGTTCTTTACTCTAAAGCTGATATATTATTTGCTGACTCTTTTCCCAGAAAAATTGCCTTTTAAAAATTTATTTTCGTGGGGTGCCTGGGTGGCTCAGTCGTTAAGCGTCTGCCTTCAGCTCAGGTCATGATCCCAGGGTCCTGGGATCGAGCCCCGCATCGGGCTCCCTGC